TAACTGACGGAGTCTTTGGTGAACATATTGTTGACATAAACTTCTTTTAACTGAATCATCCTTACAAATACATCTTTACTTTAAGGAATCCTTATCGCTGTCCTTAATTGAATCATCTTTAACAAACAGTCCCTAAAATGTAGCAGAAAAATGAGAGATTTTTTTAACAAGCTTACATGAAAATACCAACTTTAAATGTTTAAATTATAAAAAATACTGTAAACAATTTGTTTAGTTTTGGGTTATTTTCCCTTCCTCGGGACAGACTGTAAAAACAAGCCAAGGTTGATATTTTCAGCTTCAGTTGCTTTATGTAAGCAGAAAATTCTCACTGGGAACATATGAGGAAATGTAGATCTCTTCATGCTAACACACCCAAAAACCAGCAAGCTCAATTTTGCTCAAACTCTCTCTCTCTTTCTCTCTTTTTTTTTTTAAACATCTATTTGGGTTGGGACCAAGGTTGGAAAAGATCATAAAAAGGATCTGTGAGAGTAATGGCTAATTGATTAAGTGGAGTTTAGAATAAAAGTTAAAACTGAAGCTTAACTATAGCAGTTGCTATGGGAGACTTCAATAATATTTTAAATGCAATGGAAAATTGGAGTTGGTAGTTGATACTCTCTTTTTGACAACTTCTTGTGGAGGCAGAGAGCAAACTCCTGGCCCTATGGGAGTGTTCCCACTGACTTCAGTAGGGCCAGGATTTCACACACGTATCTTCAGCTATACTGAAGCAACTCCACTGCTTAGTTGTGTGAGTGTAATTGAAAGCAGAATTCAATCCAGGAAATACAATCTCTGCACATAATTCAATATTGTAATGTTGGATTAGTTTTAATTAACAAATAAGGCACACAGTACTTCCAGCATTGTAATGCTATTTTGCAAGTATTCACAAATTAACTTTAATTGTCCCATCTGAAGATGTTTTGAGCAGGCAGGAACATTGGACTTAAAATAGCTTTTAACACTTTTTTTGTGTGCAAACCTAAAATGTATCCAGCAATGTGGACTATTTAAAACTCTTACCATACTTTACTGAATGTTAAATTCTGCAGATTGGCTACATTTTAAGATAAGTCATGAAGTATATAATGTATATTATAATGTCAGGAATGAGCAAGATAACTTGGCTTAATTTACGTAGGAGTAAGTGATGAGAATCAGAACTCTGTTTTATAGGAATTCTTGCTTTGCAGAAGGAAGAGAGAAACAATCCACAGAATAATGTTTGTCATATGTTTGAGAATGAAAGTAATTTAATCTACTGAAAATTCAATATAAATTCACATGAAAATCATACAGTGTGGCAGACTGACTTAGGTTCTTTGGATGCAGAAGGGATCCTGGCCTGTCTGCTAAATGATCTTTGCTTTTGTCTAAACAACCAATGAGCATTTTGAAGTCTGACATCTTTTGAATCATGGAAACTGGAATATTTGTATCTCTCACTTGCACCCAGCAGACACAATCACCACACTACCACTTCTTTGCGGCCTGCGCCACTCATCAGCATTTAAAATGATTGCCTGCCTGCAGTAGGGAGGAGAAGTGTTTTCTAAGTCATAGCACAGGGATCGGCAACCTTTTGCATGCAGCTCGCCAAGGTAAGCACCCTGGCGGCCGGGCCGGTTTGTTTACCTGCCGCGTCCGCAGGTTCAGCTGATCAAGACTCCACTGGCCGCGGTTCACCATCTCAGGCCAATGGGAGCGGCGGGAAGCGGCGTGGGCAGAGGGATGTGCTAGCCGCTGCTTCCCGCCGCCCCCATTGGCCTGGAGTGGCGAACTGCGGCCAGTGGGAGCTGCAATTGGCCGAACCTGCGGATGCGGCAGGTAAACAAACCGGCCCGGCCTAGCCCCCAAGGGGGCTTACCCTGGCAGGCTGTGTGCAAAAGGTTGTCGATCCCTGGCATAGCAGATCATCTTGGCTTGTGACCCAGCTTTTTCATCCAGGTTATATGGGTGGTCTTAATTTGGATTAGACAATCTGAGGATGTATGTTATTTCTGCCAATGCAGAATGAAATCTGGAAAGGTATACTGTACTCAGGCTTGTATAGACTTCATTGGGTTCACAGAGTAACATCACCGTTGAAGCAGCACTGCACATGTTCATCCCATTTTCCATGTATATAAAATACGTAAACAAATAAAGATAAACCATAAAAGGAAAAATATTTCCTGATATTCAAGTGATATTTTTAAATCTCCTAGAAATATATTAGAAAATGAAATCTTAAAATAATTCAACTACAGTAATGAGATGTTGTTGTAAATATATTATTGTACTTTTGGAAATTCTGGCAAACTGTAACAATAATTTGACTATTGTGAGTTGAAAAAGGGGAAACCAGCATTAAATTTCCAAAGTGTCAGAATGATACAGAACAATAGAAATCTAAAAGAATTGTTCTTATTTTATTCAGTTTCTTCTGAAGTCTTACTTAAGATATTTAAAAACAATATTCATTTTGGGGCTTTGCTTACATTTTAAGCTGTCTGTCAAGGAATATTATGCTCTTGAACATAAGTCCAGAGACAAAACAGAGCTTAGCTGATAGCTAAAATGTACTACCAATATTTTAAACAAGGATTTTTAAAATTTCTAGAATGGCCTGCTGGCATTAGTTTCCCTCCCTTCCTCCATCCCGCCTCCCCCCCCCCAATAAATAAATAAGCATGAATTCATGAAAGTCTGGTTTGAACTGCAGCTTTGACCAAATATAAAAGTATAGTATACTCTAGACAGTATTTGGTCCTGCCATGTAGGCAGGGGACTGGACTCGCTGACTTCTCAAGGTCCCTTCCAGTCCTAGAATCTATGAATCTATGAATCTATAGAGATGCTTAAGGAAAAGCCTTCAATGGATATTTTAAGCTAATATATAATATTGTTTGTTATGAACTAGATGGACAAGAGTTAAAACAAAGAACTACCTAGAAGCTTCTAGTGTGGGGGGGTCCATTAAATATACAGCCCTGTTGATGCTAATTTACTGGTAGGCTTCAGTTGTTTAAGAAAGCTCATATCAACTCATTTTGCAAAAATTATCTTCTATTATTAGATGAAATGCCTTCTGTTATTCCCACTGGAGGAATAGCTTTGAATGAGGGTTGTGTCACAAATGGAATTAGTTGAACTCAGTTCTATAGCATTTAGCTAACAGAATTATGAAGATTATACTGACATAATGAATAGGCTTTGGTCAGACCAGTGTAGTCCCCTTGAGATGACTGAGATTCAGTGCACTGCTGTTCTCTTTCTTTGGTTGACATGAAGGATTTGATCTTCAGTACAGCCTGTCCCCATGGTTTTGTGGGAATTATTCTTATTACTTGCAAAGCTCAGTCTAGCTGCATTTACTGAGCAGTTTAGCTTTGTTGGTTCTGGAAACGGATCTCTGATTAATTAGGCTGCTTAAGCAGAAATCTCTGTCACTCCTGATGGAACCTGTATTAAGGAGAATGGAGTGGTAGACGAGTTTGTAAAGAACTGAATCTCTTTCGTCTAACTTTAAAATAATATTTTATTGTGTAATTAAGAGTTCATATGGGAATGTGAACTAGCCTATATCCTTCTAGTCTACAGAATCCTTCATGCTCCATTTTCCTTTCCATTCTCAAAATAAAGGTATTTCTGTGAGTGTTGTACTTAAAATAAATATTTTAAAGATGTGAACTGTTTTTTTAGGTGAAATCGAAGAGCCATACAGCATTACGGATTAAAGGCAAAGAAACCCTAAAAGCATCTAGTAATTTGTAGGACATTTCTCTCATACAGCGATATAAAACATGAACTCAGAATAGTCATTCCTAAGAACCATTTTCTTTCCCAATATGTTAAATTATAGGAAAATTTTATGTTGTTACATGCAGGTTAATTGTGTTACTGCAAAGAGTTACATTACCAACATTGTGGACATTACTCTCAATGGGAAGTATTCTAGGGAAAGTGGGAGCATTCCTGTTCTTATTCCTGTTTAATATCTATATTATGGTAACATCCAGATGCCTCTATCAGGATAGTGCCCCTATTGTGCCAAACATTATACAACTACGTGTGAAAACACCACCCCTGTCCTGAAGAACATATACTTTAAGAAAGAGTAAAACATGCCTTTTTTACATCACCAGTATTTGTTAGACTTATAGAAATAAGTGGAAGTCTAATAAACTGTTCACATTTATTTTAAATTGATTAGCTATCCTATGGTTATCCATGGAAAATAAAATGTTATGCTAAAAAGAATATAATCCCAATCTTTGGTTTTAAATTAAACTCCAGATTATGTTCCAGTAACAGATTCAAATCAACATGTGGAGTTCATTTCCTATTGGAACTTACAATATAAATATTTAAGACCACATGTGATGCTAGTGATAATTGTCGTGGCAGGCCATTCTGACAGGGATATGAGGAGTGATTGTAAATACTTATTCTCCATCTAAATGTAACTTTCTACTTTTTAAATTGTTTCTTGGCACACAGTTAACAAATATTAAATTGAAATAATAAACCAGAATTTTCACATGTGGTGGCGGGGGAAGTAAATTATTTCAGTCATATAGGAACTTTCTTATACATTTCTTAGTCAAACTCAGTATCAGAATACACTATTTCAGCTGGCAGAGAGAGAGACAGTCCCCAGACCTCTAACAGATGACTCTCTAATGGAGTAATTTTGTCTGTTTCTATTAAACATCCATCCATCCACATTTTTTGAGTGCAACATTGCAAACATGAATACTTACATGGTGTTCAATGCCTCTTGCGAAGTACTGAGCCCAGATACTTGGCACCTTGTGTGGTGGTCAGGCTCTTAATTTGGATGAAATGCCTCTTGAAGTGTCAGGACTAGTTTTCCTATGCTGTCAGCAATAGATATATTGTACTGTATATAGAGCACAGTAATGAATATGATGATGTTTTTCCCATAATACAGTTTTCCGGCTGAAAATGATTTTTGTTGATAAAACTAAAATGTATACTCCTCCTAGGGTGAGAAGGGAGATCAAGGAGAACCGGGACCTGAAGGCATGCATGGAAGAGATGTAAGTTGACTGATAACAGCAGTCTATCATTTATAACCGTTTAATGTTTACATATAAATAGCTTAATTATAAATTATATCCTCCAATAGAAAGCAGAAGATAGAATTTAGAGTTTAGAGAAATTAGTTCAGAGAATACACATGCTGCGTTGAAAAGTAACAATGGATTTCCTCTATAACTCTTTGACTGTCTTCCGTTCTAAAACTTTCTTGATTAACTGATAAAAAAGGAGAGAGAGAGAGATTATTGTCTAAAATGCCCCAAAGAGTCATCATTCCTGTTAGGTTTTAATCTGACTGATTTGAATGAGGTTAAACATAAAATGAAACAGTATAATGTAATGTAACAGTAGAAAATGTTACTTACCCAGAAACAATGAGTGTCTGGTAAAGCAGTAAAAATAACTACTATACTTTAGGAAAAGAGAGAGAAGGGGTTTTGAAAGTCTGTAAAGCTTGGGAGCTAAACTGGGGAAGAAAATTTCAGGAGCAGGACTAGGAAACATTTGTGTGAGGTTTGAGATCAGATAATGGGGGAGTCAGAGGTCAGGGAGCACCTAAGAATTACTGCTCAGGTGCCATGAAGGAAAATGGAACAAGTTTGTAGGTTGGAAATGAGCCCTGGGGATGTGTGTGTGTTTACTGTTCATTTGTTTTGGATTTTTTGTGGGGGAGAGGGATCTTTTGTAGCCAAGGAGAAGCTGATGCTGAATCCCTGATGTCTGAGAAGGAAAAAGGGTTTGCTGGCTAGGGTCAAAGGTGACTATAGGGCAAAGGAGTTTTGTATTTGGAATAGTGTGCAGCAGTTAATCCAGATTTCTGTTGCACCAGAAGTTTCCCCCAGCACTTAACATTTCATAGGGACATGCCAAGGCACTTGATTATGTGGGCAGCCTCTTAGATGTCTCCCACATTGCTGCACAAAGCAAGATGGTTTTAGGACCTGTCCCCAACCCCATGCATCCTCTTCAGGAGTATCATCATGTCGCTTTTACAAGCCAAGTCTGTGTTTTGCTGGAAGTCTGGGATCTCCATGGGGAAAGCAGCAGGCCTGCTTTAAACCATCATTGCCAGTCTGCATGATACCACAAAGACTTCAAACATGTTCAGGTAAAGGGAGAAAAATTCCTTCAGCATGGGATCTCTTGCAGAAAACCAGTATCTGTCATCTGAACCTTCCTCACTTCTTCCCTGCACCCCCTTCTCCCTTGGACTGTGATACCCCTTGAGAAGCTGCTCAGGTGAAGGGCATAATACTGGCACCCTTTCCCCTTAGTGAGTCCTACTTCTGCCTGAAAAGAAAGGAAAAGGGGAGCAGGCAGAAAATCTTGATTTCTTTTTTCATCCCCAGCTAAGTCCCAAAATGATGACTCAGAAGGTTTTAACAGCAAGACTACAACAAATTATTTATTTTGCCCTCTTAGGTCCCCTTTGTGACCTTCTAGGCTAGGGTCAACCTAGGTTAGGTCCTGATTCTGCAAGGTATAAATTCTGCAAATGTAGAGAGCTTGTAATGAGTGTTGATGCCACTCAGCACCTCACAGAAAGCTGTCAAGTACATTGGAGGAGCTGAACCTGAATGTATAGATTCTGTTGAAAACTAGAAACATTATCAGGATCAGATCTGGAAGGCAGGAGAATTAGTTAGTGAAACACTTGGCCAATGGTGTATGCTGTGTTTGCTAATAACTGTGAACAATGAGTATCATTAATTGCATTGAAGCCTGACATGCAGTTTATAGCTTTTTAAACATGCTTCCCATTTATGACACTCTTTATTGCAATTGGCTTTTTTATATAGTGTATATTCTTTGCAGAAAAGTTTTTTTTCTTATATTAGGGAGCTATATTTTTACACCAGAATCCAGTTTTTCTGCAGCCCACAATTCTTGATGTCTGGGCTGCTCTTGTCTCTCTGGAACTCATGGAGGCAGAACACCCCCCTCCGTGCTTGCTTCCAGTTTCTCTGCCTCCATGGCAGCATGTGGATGCTGGTTTTTACAGCTCCCACCTTCACATCTGCCAAAGGGGGGCTTTTTTTGAATTAGGAGCAGTGGTGAGCAGTGATCTCTCTCCTGCCTTAGGTCAATTTTGTAGCCAGCTGTTACACCCATCAAAGCCTCCTTGCTGGCTCCTCCTTCCCAGGTATGGTAGAGCAGCCTAAAAAGCACCAAATGAAAGCCAAATGGTGCTCCATCATGAGACTGCCTTCCTAGGCTTAAGTGAGTTATGCCCTGCCTGCACCCAGCCTTCCATCTCTAACTCTATTTGGTGCTGGGGCTATGGGTCAGATAGGACAGTGGATTCCCTTACTCACCAGAGCAACATGACTCTGACATGGGAAAAATGGACCAGGAGTCTAGGGGCAGAGCAGGGAAAGGATCAAAGAATAAGAGCAGCCTGTCAGCTAACTCAGGGTTAAGTCCTAAGGAGCCGCTGAAGAAGAGAGAGGGCAGACATTGTGGGATCACGAACTCTCCATCCCTCCCTGCCCCCCAGGGAGAGTGCCCTGGAAAAAGAAGCAGGGCTCATAAGCAGCCCCTCTTCTTCCCAATCTGGTCAGGAGGGCTCTGGAAGCATTCCCCCACCCCGAGTTGAATGGGACCATGCAGGTGGACTCAGAAAGAGATCTTGTGAGAGGACTCAGGCCCTCAGCAAAGCTAACTGTGGAGGAGCACATACACTCTCTAAGCAAGCTAAAAAGATTTTAAAAAATCAAGGGAAGTGACAAAGGAGAAGAAAAAGTATAAAAGGTTTAGGAGATCTGAGTCCTCTGACTCCTCTTCTTCCTCCCCCCTCCTCCTCAGAGGACGTGCATTGTCGGGCTCTGACCCCGATCAGCACCAGGGAAAGACTCAGCAAATGTTTTTTCCTCTGAGCAATTTTAGGCCATGTGCAATGAGGTTGTATCCATATTCAGATTCAACCTGAACAAAATCCTGAGAGTAAGCTTCTGAGAGGATTTCTCCTCTCAAAATCTTCCCCTGAAGCTACAGTTCCCCAACACTCCTCCTTCAAGCAAGTAATTAGGGGTGAATGGGATAAACTAGACAAGAGCAAGCACATTAACAGAAATGATCTTGGGTTTTATAGTATCCAGGAACCAAAACTCCTGGTTACTGAGATGCTGAATGTTCATGTTGCTGTAGCATCCCTGGTTATTGAAAAATGAAGGCCACTCTCTAAAAAAGACTCTGAGGCCTCTTTATCCTCCCCCATCTCTAAAAGCCACTTGGTTTGCGAGGGCATCTCTCTCCTGGCTGGAAGGTCTCAGACCCCTCGAGGATAGAGATCACCCTGAGTTTGGCTCTTTTTTAAAGAAAGATTTCCCTGCAACAGCATTCATTGCTGATGCCTCAGCGGACATAAGGAGATTCTCAGCTAAAGCCATGGACTCCAGCTCAGTGACCAGGAGCCACCTATGTCTTCATCCCTGGAAGGTGGAAGACCACTTAAAGCAGGTTATGTGCTCTGCCAAATTCATGGGAGCCCTGCTTTTTGGAGAGAAACTAGACAAGGTAGTGGCAGACAAGGCAGCAAAATCTAAAGAGTGCCTTCCAATGTCACACCATGCCTTTAAGAGAGCACAGAGCAGCCTCCAAACAAAAGCATTCCTTTCAGCTTTCATCCTCACAGAAATGTCAATGAAGATACAGCACATTCTCCAGAGGAAAGCTGTGCAACCATAGCTCGGGAGGAAAGCCCCAAGAGAACCCTGCCACTCCCAAAGCCTCTTTATAACAAAGACCACCTAGGCCTCCACCCGGAGCTGAAGCTTGGGGGCAAGATTTCCCACTTCCTGGAGTAATGAGTTGCTCTGACCATGGACCAGTGGGTCAGGGAGATAGTATGTCTGGGATACTCACTCAAGTTACCAGTTCCACCCTAGGCATTTTTCATCCAGTCCCCCATCTCAAATGTCCAAGTAGAGCATGGTCTAATCCAGAATGAGATTTCTCATCTCCTGGATATGGGAGTAATAGAGAGCATTCCCTTAGAATACAGATTCTCAGGGTTCTGCTCCATCTCCTTTATCATTTAGAAGCATACGGGGACTCCAAACCATTATAGATCTCAAAAGATTCAACAAGTGGATGAAGAAAACAAAGTTCCAGCTGGAGACCCTAACCTCTATGGTGTCATCGCTAGGGGATTTTCTGAGTGATCATATCCAGATGCCCATCACAGGATGACATCTTCATCAGAGCTCCATTCCCAGCAGTGGAACACAGAGCTACATACCTGACCTTGAATCTCTTGCAGGCACATGGTTTTATTATTAAAATCAAGAAAAGGTCCTTGATTCCTTCCACCCAAATAACTCACTTGGAAATAGACATAGACACTTTAAAAGCAAGGATGTATCCATCTCTAGGATCCAGAAGATTCTTGACCTCCTCATGTAGCTTTGGAACTGCAAATGCACTGAGCCTTCAACTGCTGGTTCCCCTAGTACCGTGCCTAGGGATCACTTCACAATCACACATCAGGCTCCTTCAAGGCTTTATCTTAAATGTATGGAACGACTCCCCAAAACACAAGATCAAGTGATAGTTCTGGAGTGGGTGATCAACTCCTTAAAATGGTGGTCAGCCCAGAACAATGTCCATAAGGGCATATCCATACACCTTCCAAATCTTCCTGATCCTCACATCCAATGCCAGTCTGGAGGTCTGGGGAGTGCACCTGGGGTCCCAAATGGTTCAAGGCACCTAGAACCTGAAAGAAAAGACCCATAGCATAAACCTCCCAGAACTAAGAGCAATCAAGCTGATGCTACTAGGATTCCAGCCCAGCCTGGAGGGGAGCCATGTCCTGTTTCAAACAACATAACCACCGTTGTATATGTGAACAACTGGGGGAAACAAGAAGCCCATCATTTCATGTTGAAGCAGTGGAAATCATGCAGAGCATTTTCTCTTCTCCCTCAGGGAAGTTCACATAATGGGAGATCTGAACCAGAAGGCAGACTGGCTCAGCAGGCACATGGTAAAGAACTCC